ACTCCCCACGGAGCTCAGCTCACTCACTACACACACACACTGTCAGCGCCGTTCAAGGCATTAGGGAATTTAATAGCATGTGTGATTGAGTGTAAGGGTGTGTGTAAGAGACTGAGGAGTGTGTAAGTGTGTTAAAGTGCGCTTCATTTCCTGGGCTGCTCTTATTATCTGCAATATCTTTACTTTTTGTGTTTGTGCTGCAGGTTTACCACTGTTTCAGTGTGTGATACGTGTCAGCACAGGTATACACAAGTGTGTGTGTGTGTGTGTGTGTTGTAGACCTCTCTTAGTGTGTCTGAGTGAATGCATGGGTGTGTGACTTCATGTTGAGGAGTATTATTGTGCGTGAAGTTGCTTATTAAGACCAGAGCTCCCTGCAGCTACTGTGTCAAACATATCTCTCGCTCTCTCTCTCACACACACACACACACACTTATTCTTTTCTCCCAGACCATTTGAGGGATGACAGGAGGGAGCGAGGTAGTAGAGGTGTGTTATATTGGGATGTACTACGATACAATAGACAATATATTGAGTTGTTTTTAAACAATGTAATTGTAGGAAAACTGTCAGCATAATGAAATAAAGGAAAAAATAGGGAAGGAATTATTCCTTCATGACATGAACACCATTGTCCAAACGCAGAACCAGAGGATCTGTTTAGATAAATTAATAACAGGTTCCCAGATCTTTGACCCTTTGATATGAAACCAGATTCATGATCACTCAGCATTGTAGTATTTTACTGGCTTGTGAAGAGTTGTCGTTTTTTGTCTGACTCGTACATCCTATATTAATAGGTTTACACTAGAAATGTAAGCCCACCCTTGTATTTATAGATATAGTGAATTAGCGGTGCTGTGGTATTAGTGACATGTGGAACAATCGTACCTATAAAAATATGTAAGGAAAGTGAAAAAGTCTTAACGACAGGAGATTTTCACCAGTAATAATAAAGATGCTCTAGATAATGTTGGAGATAGATCTGTCAGGTCAGAGGGGGAGATGAAGACCCCACAAAAGAGTTTTATATTTTATTCCAAGTCTAGACTCAAACCCACAACCCCCACAGTGTAAGATGGCTGTCCTTCCCAAATCAAAATAAACCAAGATTTTTATTCCATTTCCTTTGACATAACACATTGACATTATTATTATAATTATAATTATTATTATTATTTACTTCTAATAAATCACTTCATCAGCCTCCTCCATCACCTGACACTACTGACAATAAACATGTGGTATAAAATGGCTGTGTGTTGTTTGTTACCTCCAGCTGGTTCTACAGAGGAGGAGCAGTGATTAACAGCAGTAACCATTAACAGCAATAATGCTGTCATTAAAAATCAGTCTCATTAATGTCACTGTCTGTGGATAACGCAGTAGAGAACGTGTCGTCACATCATCTGGTCCTGGAGAGGCCGGGGATTTAAACATGTCTGTTTTTTTTTCTTTTATTATTATTCTTTCTCCTGTATGTTACTACTTCTTGTAAAAGTCAAAACAGTTTATTTCTTCAAGTCGAAGAATAAAGCTTAGAGAGTGGCAGCAGTCAGAGTGGTTTAGTGAAGGTGTGTGTGTGAGATAAAGAAAAACAGCAGCAGTCAGAGTCATCTAAATATATTCAGGGGAGATGGGAGGTAGAGTATAAGTAGAGTATAAGAGTATTATAAACCAGCCACTTCTATCTGAAAATATAATGAATATTAGTAATAGTACTGAGTGAAAGAGTTTTCAAACACAGTGAACAGAAAAGCCAAACAAACTAACAGTCCAAAGCACTCGTTTTTATAGATTTGCTTCTTAATGTACCATTGTATATTTTGTAAATTTGACTCAGCTGTAGGATTGGTATGAAACCCCCCACCCTTTTCAGGTGACATAGGAAACAAAGATACCAGTCGGGTTGGTAATCTGTTGCCGTATCCCAGTCGGGTCTCTGTATTAACCCATATTCAGTCATGTTGGTACAGATTATACTGAAAGCACAGAGTCTCAAATAGAGACCTATTATTCCTACCATGTCTTTTTAATTATATTTACTCACCACTGATGGTGAAGTGAAAGGGCAGAATTTTACAGACTGTGATTAAAGATAATTACAGTTCACATGACTTATGGAAAATAAACTCATGACAAGTCATGACCTTTATGAACTTCATGTTCCATTTGTTCACAACATCGCCATTTGTTTTGTTTTTGTTTTTGTGATTTGTTTTTTTAGAATTCGAGACGAAGCACAACGCCTTTGTTTGCATTTAAAGCATGTAAATTCTCCTTTTGAGGATGTTTGATTGTGAAGTGTGAAGGCTGAAGAGAGGAGGAGGTGAAGAGGAGGAAACAGAAACAGACTGATGTCAGTAATGTGGAAACGTGGCTCCGCTTGGCCTCAGCCCATAAACTGTCAGAGGTAATGAGACAGGGTGAAGGGACAGCTGTGAAGGGCAAGAATTCACACAGGAGAGGTGAGAAAAAAGCTAACATGAGGGCAGAAGAAAGTGTCAAAGGCATCAAAGAAGGAGGTGGATATAAATTAATGGTCGGAGTCTTTAGAAAAGATAATGAGAAGTGACACCATGTGAGAAAAAGCAAGAGAGGAGAGGTGAAGAAAGGAAGGGGTTTATTCGAGGTGAAATGTGGAGAGGCAGAATTAAAAGATTAAAACAGTGAGTAGTGGGGCGTCATCAGCATAAGGGAGAGAAAGGATATAATTTAGATAATAATAGCCAGGAAAATAAGATATGATGGTATAAGATTGGAAGGAAAAGAGGTCTGATGATGGAAGAGGACCAGAGGTTGGAGGAGATTTTAAACATAGTGTCGGATGCCCAAGTTTGGCAGACGGCTAAAGGGTGTGCTAACCCTTGTACTAGGGCAGAATCCAGGTTCTCTCTGGGCTAGAAGGATGGATGGTTGATGGATGAACCAAAGGTGCATTGTTTTCTTAGGTTGGTTTCCTTTTCCCTGACTTTTGAACTGGACAGTACAAAGGTCCTTTCCATTTGTTTAGAAAACTTAAATATTTCCCTGTGATTGTTGTAGAACAAAATGTATCCTGAATATTCATTAAAGTCCACTTTAGGACTGGTTTTCAAGGTTGGTAGAATAAATGGAAACACAGGTCCTACTTCATTAAACACAAGACGAAACTGAGGGTACTGACACCTAAAGGTGTAAGGAAACCTAAAATGTAAACTAACAATATTTAAACTAATACCTAACAATTTGGTGATAAAATAGTATTTCTTGCATGCAAATTTCTAAGCTGTAAAGCAGGGAGTAAATCATCTCTTTTAAGCAGTGACTGAAATGTCAAAGTGATGAAAGAGAAAGAGGAAAAAGACCTTTTAACCCATGTAATAAGTTTAGGCTGCAGCCAGTTGCTCTGTCTGTCTCCCTGCATTGCCTTGTTCTAATAAAGACAGCATACAAATTCATTTCCCTGGAGGCCTTTTACATCATTTCCTGAAGAAAATTAGTCTTTTCACAATCACAGCAGGCCAGATTGACAGTTTCCATTACCAGACCCTTGTAATTAAAGGATTTGTACTAATAGTAAATTCATCATAATTCCTATGGGCTATCAAGTCTCTGTCAGGCCATTTCATTTTCACCGCAGTGTTTCATTTTAAAGCCTTCAGGTTTGTGTAGTGTCTGTGCCTTGACATCTACACCGCTGTACTGAGACGTGTGGGTGGGAAAACACCCAGACTGGAAATGTGAGCAGAACATTCTGGATGGTAGGGTCTCTGTTAAGTGAATGGAAGAGTTAAAATTAAGAATGTCCGATTTTTGACAACTTTTTGACAGTATCCGATGCCATTATCAACTGTTACCGATATAGTGGGGGCAGTGTTGGCCTGGTGGTAAAGGAAGTCAAGCTTCGCCTGCTCACTAAGGTAATGGGTTAAATCATTTAGCAAAACCCATGCATTGTATTATAAGGTTTTCATTACCACAGAAAAAACCAATAACAATTCTTACAGATATTACATTGTTATGCTTATATTTGGCTATTATTATTATGATTATGATATTATTGGACATCTTTGGTTAAATGTACTGTATGTAGAAATTACTTAAACATGGTATTTGCCAAAAGTATTAATCTGAGTCATTAGTTATTTTATTGAAGTGAAACAGATGTGAGAAATGTCCACTGAAGGAGACGACACGCAGCTATTCAGTGGAAAAGTGATTTCTGCTTCAGAGACGTGTGGTGGCAACAGAGAAGCTGTCCTTGGTAGGGTTTCAACCCAACAGGTTTACACTTAGAGGACGACAGTGAGAGGGCGGCTGGTGACAGCTCAATTCACAGGAAGTGTGCAGTCTCTCTGACTGATGTGAAAGTGATGAAATTGATTGACAAAGATCGCATAACAACTTATAAAGTGATTGACAAGTGACATGTGTAGTACCTTGTGTAGAAGAAGACAAGCCATCATAATGTTTCTTCTTCTGCACTTATTCTAGGTCAGCCAAGGACCGTGGACTGTTGACATTGGAGTGTTATGACAGTCGCCTGATCACTGAGAACTACAGTGTCTAAGTCCACCCATGGTTGTGGTGAAATTAGGTTAGGGAGGTGCAATAAAAGGAGGTAGTTCAACTCCTGAGGTCATTAGTATGACTTACATCCACTTCCTGTAGACTTCAGCCATCTCACCAAGTCTGTCAGACACTCTGACCGTAACCTGAACCTGTGTGTTCTAACAAACCAGAAAACCCATTTCACATGCGTGTCAACATGTTTGATTCATGGCAGAAAGATATATAAAGTATGAGTGAAGGACACTTTTGAAGTTGCTGTAACTAATGAAAAAAATATCCAGTCAACACCAAATGAACGCCAACAAAGCCCTGGGGAAACTGTGAGTGACCTGACCTGACATCAGTCATGTTGAACCAAATCCCACTTAACAAGCCAAAGGTAAAATGAATTTATGTTCAACAAAACTCCTGCAGCACTCGTCTGTCCATGTCACAGCGCTACTCACAAGCGATGATGTTGCCATAGCGATTCTTGTTGCGGTTCTCTTCCTTCTTCGCTGTTTCCCAGGGGGCAGTCTGTCCCTCTGCCAGGGCCTAAACACACAGAATAATTTCATATTTAATAAAGAAAACTCCGCAGTATGCATGCACATATGGCTGTGCCTACAGTCTGTACACGGACACATGGAGTCGGAGGCACTAACATGAATATTAATGGACAACAGATGAACCAATCATTTTAATTCACTTACGGAGATGAGAGTCGTGCAACACACACTGCAGGAATGTTAAATTTGTACATTTCATGCAATTATTCACAACGTTGGTTCATTTTCGTGTTATAGATAAACCTCTGACCACTAGTGGATAGTACAGGGACTGCATATATATTTTTTTATGTTTATCAAAAAATCTTGCAAATGCTTTTATTTCTTCTGTAGAAAAACTCAATATATCGTCTATTGTATATCGCAATAGACCCTACTGTTGCCCCTGTATCATAATTTATTGGATTGTTAATGTTTGTGTTTTTTTAATGACTGACATGGAAGGTTTTATGATAAAGGATAACAGAGTTCCATATCTATACATATATACAGTATATGATACTAATATACTTCATCTCACTCTCACTCCCAGCACCTAAACACACACTTGATGGGAAAATCACATTCTGCTCCCGGAACATATCAGTGGGTATAAACCAAAATGACAGGAGGCAAATGAAAATATAAGACACCGTGTCACAAAGGGACAATTTTCCACACACATGCAGAGTGGATAATAGGAAATATTCATTTTGATGAAAGCCAAGTGGAGTTGGAGAGGGGTGGGGGATTTGGGGACAGACAGCCCCCACGTCTTTTGAATCAAAAAAGCTATGGAAAGAGGCTCTCAGTGGAACGTGAGCACATGGTTGAATACCCATGACAGGGTAGGATTATAAAAAACACGATAAAGTGAGCTGTCCAACAGTCAATGGACGGACAAAAAGACATAGGGGGGAAAATACAACCACAGACTACTGAATGGAAGGAAATATAAATATGGTGTTGTGAAGAAGACTTAAGGACAAGTATGAAGATGGGACGTTAGGTGTACAAGCTAGAGGAAAAAAATATACACATCTGATGAGAGAAATTGGCAACTAGAGAGAAGAGAAGGATTATTTCTAATATTATATTGAAGGAAATAGAAGACGGTTGGTGATTAATGTCATATCTGTCCAAAAGCCAGAGAGTTTTTTTTTGTTGTTGTTGTTTTAGAATGTTGGATGTGGTGCATTCAGGAGAATGTGTATGATTTTTTTTTTTTAATAGTGTAGCTAGAATTCAGATTTTGTGATTTTGCCGAAGTAAAGGACCTGGGTTGTGGTGAAAACTGCTAGAACCACAGAACAAACATTCACACCTGTGGTCAGTTAAGTTGAACAGAGGGGGGAGTCACAGAGCATGGGTGGGCTCACATGCTGTTGACCAGTCCAGCACAGGGTCACAGATACAGACAAACAAACAGGTCACATTGTCATCCACACCTACAGTCAGTTTAGAGTCAGTCCTTGATCTGATCTGCATGTCTTTGGACAGTGGTTGAAAACAGAAGTATCACAGACAAACATGTCTTTTTATATGTTTTTACTACACTTTTATAAGTTTAAACCTTAACCTTTGTCCTTCCATGTTTTAATGATGCTTGTCTCTCAACAAAAGGCAAAGAGTGTGTGTGTGTGTCTGTTCTCACCTCATACTCCTCCTTAAAGCCATAGCCTTGTCCACACTTCATCTGGGTGATGTGTTGGAGGAGGTCTGCCACTCGGATAGCCGGTTGGAACTGGCCAGCCTGGAACTGACCTGCAGGGATGTAGCGATGGAGAGGGAGAGGGAGAGAGAGAGAGAGAGAGAGAGAGAGAGAGAGATGGGGGTAAGGTTGGAATTAGGCTTCTTCTCATTAGTAGTTCATATTCAGAGGTCTGTCAAATGTAACGCGTTGACAATGACTGCCACTTACAACTCCATTGTATGAATTCCATTCTGTCCATACACCTGTCTTTGCTCTTATACATGGCCAATACACATTTTTCATTAACGCTTAAAAGTATTTTCAGTATCAATATCTATATATTTTCTTAAAAAAGTTGTGCCCCAATAATACAAATCTTTTATTTGTATTTCCTGCCATATTTCTTTCTGTTTTGTTTGTTTGTAGTTTCCTTATTTGTCCTTCCACCTTATTATTTATATTTTGCTAGTTAAATTACCACCGATTATACTTATATTATATTATATTAGAACCATATTTTGAAACTTATTTCTCACAAAGTCTTGATAGGTAATGCAACCTTGACAAGCATGCTGGGTAATTAAGTGAAGAGATAAACCACAGCTGTACTTGACTGAGGCGACGACGTACCACTCTGGTAGGAGAGCTCCACAGACTCACAGCCTCCATAAGGAAACTTCTGCAAGGTCAGGGAGGGCTGGGAGAGTGAAGCCTGACTGCCATCTGCACAAAGAGCAAGAGAGAATAATATGTCGTCAACATATAAAGGAACACACTAACAGCACTCACTACTCTGTACTGATGGATGGAACTTTGTCCTCCTTCCCTTTGTCCATTATCTGTCGTATTTGGACGGGAGCTTAGGCTTCATTTACAACGATAAGAAACACATAACTGTGACTGAACTTCCCGGGAACAGGAAGGACGGAAAAGTAATGTCTAAAGACGAAGAACCAGATTAAATAGAACAAGTACAAAAGAGAAGAATAGGTGGAGAACACTATCAACAAGTACCAGAGGAGGTAAATGAGAAGACGGTAATAACTTAAAGCCTGAGCCCCAGAGCGAACCAGCTCATGTGTATGTTACAGTCTGTGTGTGTGTGTGTGTTTATGTGAGTCTGGGAAGGAAACGGTTTGTAATATAAAACTGCCTGACTCTATGTTTTTTTAATGGAGCTATTTGCATGTTAATGATGGCTGTGGATTCATTACTGGCCTAAAGTGGCTCCTCCATAAGCTAATCTAAACACAGGCTTCCCTAAACGAATGAAGAATGAGTCGGCCACATGGGTCAGTCTGCAGCTCCAGGGTGTGTGTGTGTGTGTGTGTGTGTGTGTGTGTGTGTGATGTTTCCTGTTGGAATGAAGAGAAATAAAGGCAGGAGGAGGAAAGGAAAGGAGGAGTGGGCTGAAGACAATACAGATGTAGAGAGAGGATGAGAAAAAAGCCAGGTCAAAGGTCAGAACAAATGTGAACTGACTGTCTGTCTGTCTGTCTGTCCACTGACACGGAACAGGATTGACCTGTTACTCCTGTTGTCGGAAGAGAGATTATTTCCGTACTTTTTATTGTTCATTTTTGTGTGTGTTTTACTTGTTGTTGTGTATTGATCAACTAGATAATAGACAGATAATCCAGATTATTGAAGATTATTAGAATATTATCAGACTGTAGAGCAGCATCAACAGTCGTACAGTCAACACAAAGCTGTGCAGTCGTTTGAATGAAGTGGATTCTGTGTCACTGAAATCTCTATCTATGTAATGCACTTGTTGTAGAGAGAGAGAGAGAGAGAGAGAGAGTAAAGGCAGACGTTCATGTTTATTTGTTTATTTATCTACCTGTGAATCAACACTGTTCCTGTTTGTTCGGCCACAGCTCCGGACATTAACCTTTGACCCAGTAATGATGTCATAAAAGGCTGTCAGCTGCAGGTCTGTTGAACCAGTGCATAGATGCAGAGAAACGGAGTCACTGCCAACTTGACTTCATGTCCTTGAACTTCTACCTGCATCATTTGTGGACCGTGTTATTATAGCAGTGACTTCCATGGTGAACACACTGGTTTTATACATCTGATTTAAACGCTTTTGACCAGATAATCCTGTGCATGTGACTACCTACTGTTCAGTTTGTCTTCTCTAGCTTTTAGTCTACCGCTGTCTATGCGCCTCTGTCAGTATGTGTGTTAGTGTGTGTGTACGTGTGTGGGCGGGCGGGTGGGTGGGTGGGGGGGTGGGGGGGGGTGTTTAAGCTTAGCAAGGTCAAATATACATGAAGCCAGGCATGAAATGGAGTTGTAGCTGCAGCTCTACAACTGTCTATGATGAAGACGTCTCAATGCTAATGGGGGAGATTTATTGACCCCAGTCACAGGACTGTCTCCATATGTATTCAAGGGTGTGTGCGAGTGTGTGTGTGTGCGTGTCACAGGAACCTGCTGAGCATGCACTTCTCACAACTTTGACGGTGACAGAATGAGTGTTTGATTGCATGTGCACATACAAACAAATGAAGGCCGTTCACGTCGCGGTTGAGACTGTCGCTCCGTGCAGTCCTTCACGCTTGGCCATGTGCTCTATAAAGTCCCCCCCCCCCCAACCACCACTCCTTCTCCCTCTTCCTCCTCCTCTTCACGCATTGACACTTTATTAAGACCTGACTTTTGGATGACTTTGATTGCTGACATCACAGTAACACTGTGACATCTCAAGTCCTTGCTCAAAAGCACTGAACCTGTCTCTTTAGCCGGAACACTACACAAGCTTCAGTAGCTCACACACACATTTGATAAACTGGCAAATGGGTGAACATGTTGTTTCTACTAAACTGCTCAGATCTGACTGTTTTTGTGACAAGAGCACAAGAAAAGTGTGTGGAATTGTAAAAGTAAAAATCATTATTTTCAGGAAACATCATCATCCAACTGTAGGAGCTACATGATGCTAACAGACAGTTGTCGGCCAATTAGAAGTCAGTTTCCCATCCAAGTAATCCTATGAAGTAAATTATACTTCCATAATACTGTTAACTGTTGACTGTAGGGACAGTCTGTCAACATGGTGGACAAACGTCCATTAGAGGTTAATGTAAGAACAACGATTCCTTCTGTGTCACGTTGTCGAGCCGTGAAGTTATTGCAATGAAACAAATAAAAAAAAACAAATTAAAGTGTTTTTTTTTTTTTTGGTCACTCCATTTCTCCTTCCTTCTGTGAAGCACAAGGGCGAGTCCAGCTGAATTTTATGGCCACTGCAGCAGAGCCAGGCCGGTGGAATTCTCATCGGTATGGATGAAAAATTGCCTTGATATTTGAAACACATTAGAGTCTGTTGTGGAACAGTGAGCCGAGAGCACAAAAGATTGAGAATACAGGAATGGTCGAGCTGTGGTTGAAAAAGAAGGAGAGCTAAGAAAAGGAAAGTCATGGAACGGGAAGGAAAACTTTGATGGCAGTTCAAAAGAGAGGAAACTGAAGAAGTAAAAAAAAGTCTAGAATATCCGCAAATGGAGTAGAAGCTAGAGCACTGTGGATTAAATCAATGCCGTGTTTATGGTAATAGATTGATCATTGGACAATTTTCCCACATCAATTGAGGATAGTTGTTTCTGTTTATGGCCCCAAAACACCTGTATCCCAAAGGAATGATGTCGGAAAAAGTATGAGGGGTGCCTCCTTTTGGGGGCGCCAGAGCACTACGGAAAGTGCAGATTAAAAAAAAAAAAACGAGGCGTATGTTGGAGCATGGACCACAGGTTTGAGTAAATCTTATAATAGTCTAGGTTTAGAAATAAACATTTAGTCATCATAGAATAAAATGGAGGTATCTGAGCAAATTTATCAAACATTTAACATTTAAAATTTGGTCTTTGTCTGTGTGTAAATGCATGTGTTGGTTGTTTGCGGTCCAGGGGCAGTTGTTTGAAACTCCCTGCTGTACTGCAGATGTACAGTAACTGTAATAGGGCCAGAGTCTGTAGAGCTGAGTGGATAAACAGAAAGATGAAAGACAGTGACTGATGTAAAAACAAGTGACAGAACCGTTTACTCCTATGGAAAATAGAGGTTGATCACTTATAAACAACCTGGCTTTAAACTTGCTCTAACCTCTTCTCTCTTTGTTCTAAAAAGGGCGACAAAAACCTTCCTCTTTATTTTATTTTTTTTTTCTTGATGCCTTTATTGGTGTGTTTGGACGCCTTTCTTTTTAATTAAGACCATGATTGTGAAATCTACTGGAATGACTAGACATAAAATCAAAGCTTGGCTGCACAGAGGGAGGGCGGCCACAGGGAGAACAGCCTGAGTTGACTGGACATGATTATAAGCTGTGTGAGCAGCAGAGTCAAGCAGCAGCTAGAAAAAGATGGCAGAGACTCAATCATCCCTGAGCACATAAAGGTTAAAAATGACTGTCTCTCAACCCTGGCCCTACCGTCAATTACCCAGCACTGCCACATTATGGCTAAACAAAATGACTACCATTACCCATAATCACCTTACATGTAGCCTAATGCCATGCTGTACAGGCCTGGGAGAAATAATTGGCCTTCAGTAATGCTGAGTAAGAACCACTTACAGCACATCCAGAGCCGAGGATAGAAATTAGGAGCTCTCTGGCTCTGGGCTGTACTGTTCCCCACTTCAGCTGTGTACGGGCACATTTGTTGCTCAGCGTATCTTCGAAAAAAAAAAACAAGTATAATTTGGACCTCGCTTTCTCCACATACATTTTTAATAAAGTTCACACCTCTTTACATGGTTTTGTTTTTGGACCTACAGTGTCCTGACTGTCTACATATGACTAAAACAAAAGGTTCTATAGGGAATTAAACGAAGCGCCACTAGGGAGAACACAGTTCCATGTGAGTCAAACCAAAAGAACCGGAGCGTGAACGTTTCTATTCAACAACAAGAGTTCATAGAATAGGATGTAATAGCCTTAACTTTTGGTTTTATGTCTAATTGACGTTTTTACAGAATCAAAAAATGGACTTTTGGATAAAGACTCAGACCTTTACCTCTTCGTATTCTCAGATTAACGCAAAAAAAAGTGAAATTATCCGTTCAGTATTGTTAGTAGTAGTTAATCAAAAATATTTTTTTGTATGGCTGCCAAAGATAATAAGATGGTCAGGTGTCAAACAAAAAAAAACTTTTTACACCTTGATTTTTGACACATGTAGCTCCAGGCATTTCATTGTGGTTCGTCCACAGTCACAGTAGAAAAACAAACAAAAAAAAAAGCTTAAACTTCAGTTCCTCCTAGAATAAATTGGACACAAGGTAGACATATTTGTCACTTCTTCTTACAATTAAACATTCATACATCGCTGTGTCCTTTCTTTTAAAAGAGCATCACATTGAATAAACAATAAATCAGTTCCTATTTTTCTGACATCATTCCAGGCCTGGATGCTGGCAGCTGTGTTCTGTTGTGTGAGACACACCGTATGACATTGATTGTAGCTAAGTTACCATAAAAAGCTTCTGGATGCCGGGCTGTAACATGACTTCCCTGCTAACAGCAGTGAAGGGCTGTCCTTGGCCTCGGAGCACAGAAAGCTGACACTTGCTGTTGTGAAGTGACACGGAACAGTGTGGTGTAAGACTTTAACATACATCACTGTCAGGCACGGGAAATTGATTTAAAAAAACAAAACAAAAAACAAATCCCTGTTTGTACATGAGATTCATGGTTCACTGTTGTGTTTTCTACTGATTGGACCGTCTGTTACTGTTTAGAAATCTGTGATAATCCGATTGTTTCCTTTGTTTAAACATCAGTCTGGGAGTTGCTGCAAGATGTCTGTTTTCCTAAAAATAGTTTTTAGTGAAAAATGAGTCATGAGGTTTCACGGAGCTGCAGCCACTCCTGTGTTATGGTTTGAATGGTATATAAATCTGACTGACAAAACAACAGTGTTAGAGTTATCGATGCTAAATATGGTAACTAAAGTTCTTCCACATGTTGATCACTGCTCCACGTGTCCGTCTGTCTGCTCTTATCACGTGTTACTCACAGCAGTCTAGTTTGTGCTCCAGTTCTGTTCTCCACATCTCCAGTCTGTCGGTCTAACTGTACGGAGAACAGATGGCTCAACATGACACTGACTTCACTCAGCAACGATGTTCCACTGCAAAACTGTGTCACTGCACAAATCACTCAGGCGTTTTTCTCTCGCATTTGGGTTCATCATTCCTTGATGTGCACGTCAGCAACAGAAGGAAACTTGTAACTTGTAAACATCTGTTTCTTCCTCTGAATCTTCTGCCTTCAAACATAAATAATACAAACGAGGAAACGGTGACTTTTTCAGCCAGTGTTTCTCCAAGAATCTGAATCCTTTTCTACACAGTTAACATTAAAAGCATGGTTTGAATACACATCTGCCTTACATGCAGAGGGTCTGTGGTTTGAACTCCAAAGAAACAACATATCCATAATGGCGCCTCCTGTGGCGATTTGTACATAATGTGATTGTGTATAGTGATGGTTGTGAAAATCCTGGGGTATTTGCTGGGTAACTGGGCTAGTCATGTTGAATAGAAAACAAATACTCAACATTAATATACATGTAGACGTAATGTGTACTAACCTATAGAAGTCGTGGCTGGAACCGGTTCTTTGGACACTGCATAGAAAATCAACAAGATGGTACTGATGAAGTACGGTTTTTAAATTTTTTTTTTTTTTTAAATGTCCACAGTTAGTGACACGTAGTTTAGCCAATGGCAGTGAAGACTCACACAGGTGGATGTGTGCGAGAGTGTTGTACCTGAATAGTAGGAGTTCAACAGGGATTTACTCTGCAGTGTCTTACTGCCCTGCATGGAGAAGGAGCAGGAGGAGGGCGAGGCTGTGTAGAAGTGGACATTTGGAAAAAAAGAAAAAATTAGAAAATAGAAATAGAAAATAAAGAGACAACAACAAGACAGGTCGTCACAGTGCAGGAGATAGTTAGATAGAAAGAAACACACACATCAGTGACATCATCTCTACAAACACATGACACAGTAATCAATGAAAACATACGGGAATAGACCGCTGCTCTATATCTGACAGTAGAAGAACAATAAAAATACCATCAGAACTATTGGATTTTAAAGTGTCAAATTGACAGCGGTCAATGTAATGACTGATTTTATAAAGAATGACACAGAAATGGAATTGGAATGAGCGGAACGCAGGGGAACAAAGAGAGTCGAAAGGATTGTTATGGAGGAGGTAAAGTGACATCAAAGATTTTTTCCCACTATTATAAAAACCACAAACACATTCCTGTGTCTCTTTTCTACTGTGGTGTCAAATCACTGGTGTCGTGTACTCTCACGTGTACGTCAGTGACATAAGACACCAGGTCGGTGATTAATATTATTCCCACTTCCACAGGAATATAATATTCCTGATATAAATAACTTCAAAATGAAAACAAATATACATAGTACTGCCCCACTGTGGCAGATTATATCAGATTAGGATTGTCATTCCAAAGACGTCACTCAGACGAGGAGCGATGAATCACATACAGCTCTCTACAGGTTTATATCAGCGGCGCCTTTGAATGTGAGTCAACAGCTGGAAACAGTGGAGAGATGATGTGTGTGAGCAATGGTGTGTGTGTGATACAGCACACTGTATCTCACACACACAGGCTGCTCGGGGTCTATAAATAAATGATATATACGATGGACACTGGCAACACACACACACACACACAGATAAGACCTGGAGTGATTTCTAACAGGGTGACTGTGATAAATTATATGATGGCCAAGGCTGTTAAATAATCCAGGAGTGATATCGCAGCGAGCCCACGCACATCAATCTACAGGACCTGCAGCCAGTGTGTTTCTTTACATCTCTCTGTTTCAATCCACTCGAACAGTTACTGTGACTCATCACAATGCTTTTACTCAGCGTTTACTGCTCCTGCTCTTTTAAACAGTGCCTGCAGCTGTTTTATATACTACAGGGTAAAGATGTCTGGACCATTGAGGTGGAGACAGTTCTCCTTCAGCGCCTCTCACTAACCCCGCTCTTGTTGTCTCTGGTCCACGTCTGTCCTCCTTGTCTTATGTACTGTACGCTGCCCATGGCAGACTATCATTTGGTCACCTACTATGTTTCAGCCCCTGAGAAGTCACTTTATCAATTCTCAACCTACGTCAGCTATCTTCATATCCTCCATCACTACCTCAAGGAATGGGTTCATCATCTTTACTGTCTCCCTAAAGGTCCATCTTCTCAAATATGACCTACAGAACTTCATAATCAACTGTGCTGTCCATCCTGTTCACTCCCACTGAAGCAGCTTCATCTCCTCCACCTTCAGCTCAGCCCCTGTTCTGTTAGACAGAGCTGTTGTCAGCAAACCACATTTGGTGGTTGACTGGATAACTGGTTGACTGTTCACTCAGTGAGGTGAGAGTGAATGGTTGTTTGACTGTATCTGATGTCCAAGGTCTAGGGTAGTAGCAGAAAAAGATTAAATTCCAGTTGTTGTTTTTTTTGATGTCCAAGGTCTAGGGTAGTAGCAGAACAAGATTAAATTCCAGTTGTTTTTTTTTTTTTTTGTTTTTTTTTTTTTTTGTAAAACACACTTCAATCTTGAATAACATCCCACATTGTCTGAATAATAATGGTGACAGGAACCGTCCTGGTGTAAATCAGCTACGACCAGTTGTTCTTTACTCTCATTGATTTGGTCTTCCCACTAATGTTCTCATGTCACACCACAGCAATTCACAGTTCATCTTCCTCGCACCCTACTGTCGTCTCCTTCCTCCTCCCTTTCCTCCCGTTTCAACACCCTGGTCTCTCCGGCTCTAATGCCCCTGAAAACAACACATTTGATCAAATCCCACTCATCTGGTGTGCGTCAGCTCTCTATGTTAATGGAGCGAAAGAAGAGGCTCAACCCTAATACAGCGAGGAGTGCAGTCGCATAAGCAGAGAAATGTGCTTTGACAGCATTGTCCTGTGACAACAACCTGTGACTGGTCGAGAATGCAATAACACAAAAGGTTATTTGATCTGCTGTGAGGCCGATCCGCACAAATATCAGCGGCTGGCCACCTTGTGTCAGCGTTTTCCTGCGTCTCATTAGAAACGAGCATGGATCTCCTATGGTGTGTGTGTGTGTGTGTGTGTGTGTTCTATGCCCTCCACGATATTGTCATGTCGTGTGATATGGAATAATAATATGTATAAAAGCTAGAGGTGGAAGTAATACTCTACCACTTCTCTTTAGTTTGACAGCTAACAGCTGTAACGGTTGATTATTGTCAGTTTGTCAGTTGTTTTTTAAAAACCTGTATTTAAAGGCACCTGTCGTGTCAACGTTGAACAGAAGAATAAATGATGAATATTCATATTTAACAATTTAACTATAAGCTATATAATCTTTTTTTTCCCATCAACCCCAGATTCAACTTCACTTCACTCCACAGTAATTTATAGGTGATGGAGCCTTGAAACCAATAAACTGTATAACAGTAATAAACTCTTCTTAATGTTTTTTATATATATATTTAATTTTAATTTGATTTAACCACAGCGTCTCATTATGTTTCCTAGCAGCAGGGATTGTGCCCTTTACCTGTATTTTCTTGTATGTTCTTGAGATTGTGTTCCGTGCTTCTTGATGTTATATCTGCTCACTTAAAGAGAGACCAGTAGGTGGCAGTAATGCATGCAGTAGGTTGCAGAATGGTCAGTGAATATGACTTTAGCCTAGCCTTCCTGCTTCTACAGTGATGTAACAGTGGCACAATCAAGGTACGAGGCCTCAGACGTGTACGGAGCACCCTCCACATGACACGGAAGTACATGCTAAATACTTCATGTCAGATATTGTTACTTTTAAAGTCAAAGCCGTGAATTAAACTTTTTGTGCAGCGTATATTAAAATGTCCAACTGAGTGGTCAAGCCTACCGAAGGCAAAGACATTTTTGACTTTTTTTTTTTTTTAAATATCACAGACTTTATTCACCAGTTAGAGTTCAGATCAAAGAGATCTGTTCTAAGTGCTTCCAAGGCAAAAACATTATTGTACGTCAGAATTGCAGAGTGGACAGTTAGGAGGAGAGTGCAGGCAATTACAGCCGACATTAGCTCGCTACTTAGTCCCTCTCTGCATCACCCCTGGCTTTCAACAGCCAAGCACTCCCAAAAGGCCAGGCTGACATTTTCAAGAGAAAAATGCCCTTCTGAGACACCCTGTTTAATTACCCTGGACACACACACACACACACACACACAATTTCACAAAGATAAGGGATTTTGAACTAGCGTCGGCACATGCAGGCGGGGTGACTTTTCTAAGATTAAAGTTAAAACACAAATGCAAAGAACATTCCAGCACTGGTGCACGTGCACCAGGGTTTGCAGAGCAGGGGAGAAAATGAAGGAAAAGAGGTGAAAAATGATTAGAGCAGCACAATGTGAGATGGTTGAGGTTAGTGAAACAGTTCCACACTCTGCTGATGCTGAGAGACTGGGACAGATGGTTTTATCCTTAAATGAGACGTCCACCATTTTAATAAGTGGATCTGACAAATGATTAATGATACGCAGAACAAGCATTTGCCCGTTTGCTAAAAGTTAGAGCAAAAAAAAAAAAAGAAATTAAAAAAGTGAGTGAGTTAAATGAAGGAAACATAATGAAAAAAAAACAAGGTCATTTGAAGTGAGAATTGATAGATTTTTCAGTCTAGACTCTGGACTGTGAAAGGATATTTCACATTAACCTTCAGAATGATGGAGGTCACAGCTGGTAGAGTTTTGTGTCGGAGCCACAGATGACTTGGACTTACTGAATCCATTCAGGTCCTGACTGGAGGTGGAGAAGGGGTCGTCTTTGTGCAGGGTGCTGACTTTGGCCGTGCTCTTATCGGCCGTGGTGACCGGACCCATCTCCCTCTGCTGGGTGGAGCTGCTGGCAGTCTCCTTGTGCTTCTTAGCTAGCTTCCTACAGTGGTTTTAACATAGAGAGAACAGCAACAACCGTAAGGACAGGAAGTACAGTCAGATATTCAACACAAACCACGAACACATAACACACAGCAGGGAGTGATGAATGGTTTACAGCGAGAGGAGAGTGTTTGATTACCACATGCTGTGAACATGTTGTGTTATTGGATAATAAATCCACACACTCTAGCCAGTGGTTTTAACAATTCTTGTTATGAATGAAGTATTTACAAACCAGATATTCCTGTTCTTTTCTTAAATCATTTTCAGTGACAGGGCCTAACCATAAATTGTGGAATAACACAAGAAATGATCGCAATTAAAACATTTCAGTCATTGGTAGAAGAACTTCTTCCCACATTCTCTTCGAACATCGGAATGTCACTTAGGCCAGTGACCTGATGTCTTGGTTTACTAGTGGGTCACAACCAACAATTTTAGGGGCATACCGCCACCTGCTGTACTAGAGAGTGTAGTCTCATGGTATGACCACTGACTTTTTGAGATATTCCTATTTCCTTATGCCATGATGCGCGATTCTTTTTTTTCATCAATGCAAACTGTATTGATCTTTAATCGATTCACGATGCATCATTACATCACTGATTATTATTAGTGCCAGTGTTGTTGTTAGTCTTTGTTCACATTCAATTTCGCACATGTAGTAGTACACTGGAGTAGCATCTGGGAATGAAAATATACAGAATCATAAATGAGTCCCAAGAGGGAATTGTTGGTATTGCAGTTGCTCCTGCGTGGGTAAAAGAGCAAGAGATTAACTTAATATAAGATTTCTTTTTACCAAAAGTTCTGGATATTTGTCAATGTTCATTTTTGAAAACAGTTGTTTTTTTTTTTTTAGACTAGGCTCAGCACGGTGTTGAAGTATTGTGGAAGAAGTGGGGGTGTGGAAGATGATGTTCAGTAGGGAGAAGGTTGGACTCAGCAGTTTGGTGACATGGAGGTGTCTACACAGCCTCTAATGGAACGCGTGCTGGTTTCAGCTGGTGACAAGTCGTCCCTGGAGTGTTGTAGCTGTATGATTTGTTTGCTTCCATTTACTCTTCACAAGTCACAACTACCATCTGTTGGCCATTTTGCTTTGGCTCCACAGAGCCGTACCTCTCAGTTCCAGGTCCGCAGAGACAACAGATGGCAGCCACCACGGCAGGCCATTACAGTCAGACCTCCACCGTCACTTTCACCAGAGCTTGCAGAACTTCTACCACCAGGCAGTAAAAAAATTAACTATCTCCTGCTTGTTTTTATCTCCAGCACTTAATGAATGTCTCCTGAACCTGAAGTGATGATCAGTTTGGATCATTTTATTACTGCTGTGGACAGAAACGTTGATAAATGCTGTAAAACCTGCTGATTCACGTATTCCTCCTCCTCCTCAACATCACAGGATGTGAAGAACGAAAAACTACAGTTCACACAACCATTCACACTCAGTTTACGGTGAACCAATAACTTAAAATCCCAGTAAAATGAGAATCAAACACATTAACCACCGATCGTCCGAGGTATTGCTCCATTCAGCTTATTTTTGATAATTTTTTTTAACCACTCAAGGCCAAAACCTGCTGATGTGAAAAAGGCTTCGAATGTAGGAGCACACAGACATTTGTCGGGTTTCTATTTGACCACGGGCCATTGATGAAAAAGTTTGTCTGAGAATTTTTAATTTCTAATCAAACCAGTTTTGGAAACTTAAAAAAAGATATCGGTGTTTGAGCTGGAATTTGTTTTGATGAGGTCTGTACACAGAGACACTGAGCGTTCAACACAGGTTGAAAAGCTATAATTAAACTTTTCTTTTTCCCGGAAATGTTATTATAATCTAGTAAATATGTGAGAATATTAAAATTACTTTTGAACATTGAGCTCAGGGATCTCAGGGGAATTAGAAAATCTGGACCAAACATATTTTTTGATCAAAACACATTCAGTATTGTCTGAACCCCAACACACTTAGGACAAATAAACACATCAGTTTGGGGCTTGAATTGGAAATCAGTTGTTTTACTTTTTCATCTTCTGTAACATGCTAGCCTACTAACAATGTCTTAAATGAACACTGACCTGGACACTCCGGGGTTCAGTCTGATCACAGTTCAGTTTAAATCAAATGAAGTAGTTTAGCGGGAGGGTCGGAGGATGGTCACCAGAATTACAGGTCTAGTTTTTTGTTTTGTTTTTTTACTTTATATCCCGCGGTTGATCAGTAATTAGCTACTGATCAACCGCAGGATTTAAAGTAAAAAAAACAAAACAAAAAAAGTTTGAGTTTTGAAAGATGAAAAATACAAACGAAAGTGAAGAAGGAGAGAGCAACTAAAGTTTTTCCCATAATCTTTTTTTTTCCCATCAACCCCAGATTCAACTTCACTTCACTCCACAGTAATTTATAGGTGATGGAGCCTTGAAACCTCCTGCATGATTGGAGCTTATAGTAGCTTATTTCTGGCTACCTGACTGCACGTTGACAGAAAGTGGGTAGAAGAAGAGGAGGAATGGGGAGTGAAGGAAAGACCGAGAAGGGAGGGGGGAAATAAGATGAAGTGGAGAGAGAGAGAGAGAGAGAGAGAGAGAGAACAAAAATGAGCAGTGAAGTGACTGCTGGGGAAAAGCAGAGCTCAGAGGAAGGACAGGAGGAATGGGAGGCAAGACAGAGGATGGAGGAGACGACGGTGAAGGTCGATGGAGTGAAATCAAGAAGGAGAAGCAGATGAAGAGAAACACACGCACACACACCTGTGACTTGTCAAATAGCCCCCTCCTGCACCCCCCCTCCCTCTCCACCAGGTATTCATCCTCTTAATAGACTCTCTAAGCGACAGGTTCCGTGCATATTGTTAAAGGCAATGAACATGACATAATCCTTCTTTAATGAATGTCGACGCGGCAGTTCATTTAGCACAGAGGGAACTCCTGCTGAGTGCAGACTGTGGAGGAAATCATGGACCACTTTATACCCCGGCCACATTAATTACAGACTGTTTCACGTGTCGATAATGAGCAGTGAGCACAGAGCGTGGTGGATAAGTTGTTTTCTCTCTTCTCCATCCTCTAATGTCTGTGGCTTGGGTGTGTCAAAAAGTACTAAGACAAACGTCTACCAGTTTTTGGACAATCGGTCAGCTGACATGGTTGGAGTAATGAGTGAGCTAGAATGCTAAATTAAGTCATAAACTAAGTCGTCTTTGGCTGTTTCAACAAGTTGGCAAAACTAAAATGTTGACTTTATTCAGTGTTTACAGCGGTGGTACAGTATAAGTATAATATTAGATATTTATTATCATGTATTCATATTTAATGAATTATAATTTTACAAAAAATATCCTGAACATGAAGTGTTTGTGTATTTTTTTTTATTTTAAAAATTCATCAAGCAAGACGGATTGAACAGCCTAGCACTCAGTTTTGCCCCCCGGGTCATATGTTTGACACTCCTGGTCTAAGGCTACAATGTGCGTTTGTAATGCTTGTCCTATGTGATGGTTAACAAAGCCGTGCACACTGTTTTGACAGCAGTTCTATCTGCTCTTGACAAACCAATGACTGATGCGTGCACGGTGAGTTTGATGTGTGCGGTGGGAGTGCCGTTTGTTTAGCAGCCGCCGTGTAGGTCTGCAGGAGCGCCTCAAGGTGTGACATGAATAAAAAGGGGACACAGCATTTGTTTTACTTGTCGGGGGATTGAGGAAAACCCCTGTGCTGTGCTAACAGAAACCTCAGCCAGTCCTTAGATTGATGGCTGAAATATCCCACAGTCATATACGGGTGGAGCTGCAGTCAGTCAGACAGACACTCAGTCAGTCACTTCAGGGTGACAGCGTTAGCTCCGGAGGAGGCTGCACCAGAAGCCAAAACAAACTTTCATCTGTGTGTCACAGGGATTAAGGGCAGACCGGGGGAGATGGAGGGAGACAGGGGGAGGAGAAGGGAGATGGAGCCTGGAAAGAGAGGAAGAGAGAGAACATCCCTCTCTGATCTAACTCACACCTAAAACATACATGTACAGATGTGGACGTGAAGCTAATTTAAAACACAACGTTGGTGTGTTTTTGATATAAAGGTTTGATTGTTTTTATATTATTTTGACCTCTTGATGTAACACAGGCTGATGCTCATATAAGGGAAAGCACTTATTTAACCTGCGGCACAAACATTCCTTTGATTAACACCAGGGAGTCGGAGAGCCAATGTCATTTGTAACTGTGTCAGTGTGTGTCAAAGGGAGTTATTTCTGTGGGTCAAAGAGCCTCAGGGCGACTGTTTGGGCAGAAATATTGGTGTTTGATGACTGTTTTGCCCAGTTTGCAATTTACTGTAGATCTGGAGCAAATGCTTTGAAGACAGCAGGAAGTAGGGGATTTTCAGAGAGCCTCTGGAGGCAGTTGTAGGTGAGCCTTAAACATCAGAGCCAAACCTTGTTTGTTTGCACACACACTCGAAGACCCTCTCACACACACACACACACACACACACACACTCACACACGCACACAGTTTTGATACCATGTAGGTTGGCCTGTTCTATACACCGTGATATAACCATTGGGTGACAAGAAAGTGGAGCGATTTTAACCAATCTATTCCTAGATGTTGAAAGTTCTACTGTTCAAAATGTTGGTGTAAAAAGTTCTGAAAAGATTTATTTTTCAATGAAATGTAACAGATGTCCTAAATAAAATTCCTAAATATTGAAATTGTTTCTATTCCAGCAATAAAAGCTTGACCAGTGCCATTAGACTCCTTTGAGTCATTAACCTTGTAGGAAGATAAGATAATAAGATTTTCCTCTGGATTTTCTGTCCATATTCTGATTTTCTGCAGGTCTGTCTCATAGAAGAGTAGGAGGGAATAAAACAGGACTGTGACAGTAGTGATGAAAACGTGTAAAAGAGTTTACTCCTGGTACAGAATCTCTACTTACAGGTAATAAGAGTAGGAATAAGCATGTCTTCTGAAGCATGGTGAGGTGAGGCCGACGGTGGCAACAGAGCAAAACCCAGAAGAAGGACAAACACAGTTGGTTAGTTCATCATTAGACTGAGTCTGAAAACAAAACAACGTTTTTGACCTGGAGGTGTTTGAACCTGACCATCTATAAGTCATTCTGCCGGTGGTTTTAGTCAGGAGGCCAGGAGTTAGAGCTAGGGTAAAGAAGTAGAGTGGCATTTAAGAATCGTGCACATCTGTCGCCCCATCACCAACCAAGAACAGGTGAGAGAAGTGAAGGGATGAAGAACAGCAGGAGGTAGAAGAAGATGGAAGAGAGGAAGGTCAGACTGGTGTGATTAGAGTGATGGTTATTGTTATTGTTGTTGTTGATGTTATCATTTCTGACTTGTTATCTAGTACTGCTGTGGAATCAAACCAACACACACCGATGAAAGATAGGAATGGCTCGATCCAATACTCAGATCAATATTGATCGAAATTTCAGGATCGAACATTGAAAAAACAAAAAGAACCATAGCCCGTCCAATCTGATACCTGAGCCCAAATGCTCAACTTGACTCTGTGCAACCAGCTGTAAACAGGAACACTATCGCCCGCGGCTTGCTGGAGAAGAAAAGACGGTATCAGATTGATATCGATGTTGGCAAATACTCCAAGTCGCAGTATCGGTATTGGTCATGAAAAACTTGTACGTAGCCATCCCTAGTACAAATTGTACTTTTGCTGCTCTTTCTATTTCAGATCCACAAAGACAAATCCTCCTGCCCCCTCCCCCCACCACCACCACACACACACACATGGACTTACGCCCATAACCCTAAGAGTCGTGTTGACATTGTCCTTATGATATTAATAAAGTGCAGTGTGCTGAGAGTCTGGCTATAAAAGCCAACCATTAAAACTGCTCATAAATATTAATACAGCACTAGAAATAATAATAATAAAAAAGTCTGGCGGATTCTTCAGCTTTTCCTGATCTTTACTGTTAGAAGATAACAAACTAGTTCCTGTGTTTATTTTTTCAACATTTTTTTTCCTGGTCTGATTGTTCAGGGTCTGCCCATTAACTCATCGTTGGGTGCTGTCATCTGCCTGTCCGGGGATGTGGTTAAAGTTCATCTTCTCTTCCAGGTCCTAATATTGTCATTAGGCATTTTGTCAAGGCTGAAATACACAAGGGTGAAGTTCTAAGAAAGTTCTAAGTTCTCCTTCTCTCCATGTCCTCCACGTCTCAGCCTGCTCTCTTCCCTCAGAGAATTCCTTCTCTGTAGAATTCTGGAGGACGACCTTTGACACCAGGTCACGACCTGATTCTTTGTCTGGTCTAAGGACTGAAGTCCTGCTCATCTTAATCCTTCAGTCATTTGAACAGGTTTTTGTAACACAGCTGAACACTGGACAAAGATGTGATGATAAAACTGGTCACAGCTGTTGGACACACACAGACCAGTCTGAACTGGTTTAAGTCTTTAACATCAGACACTTGATCACGAGTCTGAGGACTTTTTGACTAACACTAAGTGATCAATTTATTTATTGGACATTGGGACACCATTTGCTCAGGGGACACAGACCAATGATGTGGTTTCACTGTAGACAGCACCGTGTTGAGCTCAGCTGGAATTTTCCTAAAGAGAGCATCGACATGATGGAATTTCCTTTAGGCCAAACACACGTTTCTGGGTTTTTTTTATTAATTAATTAAATACTGTTATATTAAACACAATTGTTACTACAGTTGTCGGAAGAAGAATCTAGAAAGAACCACATGATTGTGTGACTGCGTGTGTGAACCTAATCTAACAGATGACAAGTTTCTTTATGGTGTCAGGTTGAATTATAAAAATAAGATATTTAAATGTTATTTCATCCTATTAGTGTGTGGGGTTTTAATTAAATTAAATTAAAAATTCATAATTTCCTATGAATGTTTAACAGTCAACAAGTGTCATGTTATTATAACCAGTGTCATGTTTATATTAAGCTCTTCCTTGTGTGTGTGTTGTTGGATTTTCAGGCGTGTTCAGCAATTATTCATCTATATTTTATTAACCAGATTTACTGAGCAGATATTGTTATTGTTGTTTATTAAATGTGGTCGTGATGATAATATCGACCACAGGAAAACTCACGGTCTTTATCATCAGTCTCAACACCTATTCTGTTGCATATTGTAGTTGAAAGGAACTCCAGAGGATGGAGTAAAATCACAACTGGTGTATGTTAGGAATATTTTCTAAAGAAACAGAAACCACTATGTGGTTGTATTTGTACATTACAGTATGTATTTAGTGTATTTTTTTTTAATGAAGTATTTCTCCTACATTCATCTAAAACACTGGATATTCAAGATATTTCTGGTTTAGACTGACCTGAGGGGACATTTCTTCGGAAAAAGTACTATGTTTAGGGGCCACTCATGTTTTTGGGGTCATTGTGCAGAGCTCCACTTAGTTGGAGGGTAATTAAAAGGTCAAGAGTTGGTCTGGAGTTACGGTCAGAATACGGGCCAGTTTAGAGTTAGAGTACGGATTAGGATTGTGTATTTGTTAGAGTTGAGGTTAAAGTAAAACTGCCAGGGTTTGGATTATGTTTATGAAGTACTCACATAACACAAAGAACTGTGGTTGTTCATTAGTGTGTGTCCGAGCATGCCTCTCTCTCTCTCTCTTTCTTTCTCTCGCTCTCTCTCTCTCTCTCTTTCTCTCTCTTAGGCACGTGGACAAAGTTAAGGTCACTTCTGCGATGGTTCAACTCTTAGCATAGCGCCGCTACATTGCAGTAACAGTGTGTCGTGCAGGAGATCTGGTGTGTTGTCTTTTGAAGATTGTTTTGAGGTTCATTTTTGAATGACTGTCATCAAGAGAGGTGGAGTGTTGACATTAACAATTAACAACCCAATTCTAATCACGACCTGGGCCACGGGAACAGAAGTGTGTACTCCAGTTTTCCTCATGATTGCTGGGATTGATTGCAGTTCCCTCCCACTCAGCAGACTAAGCAGTGGAAGATGAAAATAATTCTCAAAAACAAAAATGTTTTGGAAAATATTTAGCTAAGAATACATTTATCTCTGCAGGTTTTTGAACTGAGCATGTCTTCAACATGCACGAAGGACTTTGTTACTTTGGTCAGAGAAGAGTTTGAAAAGTTTCCTTACTCTCAGTCAACTTTCTAACATTATTCCTAAATGTCAAGCTTTTTGTAGCTTTGATTAGTATTTGAGTTCCAAGTTCTTATTTCCAATATTATGTGAAGTACCTGAAACCACAGTGATAAATATAAGGACAGGCACACTTTAAGTGCAGATCAGCGTGGGTGGAGATATTTGTGAGCTGAACATTTCATTTAGTCAGACACCCTCCAACCACCACACTTTTATTTGCTGGAGCCAAATATGTCATTTCTAACCTGCCGTTAACTAATCCAACCTCCGATGAATCACCTAGCCTGTTTCTGAGAGCGGAGGTTGGAGCTCATCATCTGCCTTCTGAAAATACTTGTTTAATTAAAGTGATGTCATTGTGACATCCTATCAAAGCAGGTCACAGCTTTATTATTATTTTTTCCTTTTTCTGTGTTTTTGTTTTGAGGAGACAGTCGGCGTGAATTCAACTCACAGTACATCTAGGTTTGAACAACAAGTTGAACGTCAAACATTTCTCACCACACTGATGGAATAATGACAGGTTCATGCTAAAAACATCCACTGTTTTACATGGAGAAAATAGTCACTGAGCACTGATGGTGTGAAGGAACGATTGATGAGCAAACACACACTTTGGAAATTCACCAAATGCATCTCATGATGAACGCTCAATTAAATGTAATGTGGAATATGATCTGTATTCCTGCAGCGCCGAACAGATGGACTTAATAGGTTTAATTTAATGTTTAAATTCACATGTAAATTAGAAACTTAAAATATCTGTTTAATCAACAAAAAAAGAAAGTGTGGCAATTCTTACTAATTTATTTGAAATAAGCAGAATAGACTTAGGCAAGTTTAAATATAAAATGACAATATTAAATTGATGTCATTTTAACATTTAATGCCTCAAACTTAGACAAAAGACAAAAGACTCTGAAGAATTAACTTCACAAACATCCGCAATGTGGTTTTGACTGTAGAGAAAACTCCTGTTGACAAATCAGATGATAGTTGGAGCCATTTGTAACTGAATTTTGAACCATTAAAGTTAAAATCTGTCAAACGTAACTCCGACCTGTCAGACATTTCAGCCGATGTTCAGTCAAGAAACCAATCACTGGAACTGATTTGGTACAAAAGTAGATTTGGAGAATTTAGGCTTTAGCCCTTTGTGATTATATATAACAAGCCCCCAAGTATGTTTGTTTTTAATGAGGAATAGATTTAATTACTGCATTTATTTTAAAAAAAGTTTATAAATATCTACCATGTTCACGAAAACTTTAACACTGATATTTGACCTATGTTTCCACACTAAAGTACACTGGTTTTCCAGGCGTTCCGCAGCTCATGAGATGCATTTGGAAAATCCCACACGTGCAGACAGGAGTCACAGTCTGGAATGATGTGGACACGTTGATGTCTAGAAGTAAACATACAATACCCCACACTCAGAGTTCTCCATGTGTGAATCTCTCTATCGGAGCAAGGGCAGGGCGGGTAGAGGGTGGGGCAGGAAGGGGTGGAGCCAAAGACAGGAAACAGCAAGATATAAAAAAGAGAGACATAAAAGGGAGTGAGACTTGAGTTTTTTTGGTGAGAAATACCTGTTTCATTTGTGCTGTTATTACTTCCAACAAAACTGAAACCACAGCGAAAATACAACTGACTTTTCATGTTTGTTCGTATGGTGTAATAACTAGGGTTGATTAATGTGGCTCATGTTCAGCTAATACTGATAACTGATTATCTTTTGGAGGCCGACACCAATTAACCAATTAACACCAATTAATAATATATATGTTCGTATATGCTCAGACTGTGAGACATTTATACAATTGGTTCAATCGTAGCAACAGCTAAAAAAATGACATAAAATACATGAGAAGCAAAACCTAAGAGTTTAACAAAAGTTTAGCTTCATACTAAACTTCATTACTATTATACTAAAAATATATTAAAGAAAAAGAGAGAAAGATATCGTCATGTCAACCATCTCAAGTTTTACAGCAAATGAGCTTAAGGTGTGTCAAGAATAAAGTTTGCCGAGAAAACCAGACAGCAAAATGTTATGAACTCATCTTGACTCCTTCATGTTATTTTTTCCCCTTATTCATTAAACCTTGTGAACATCGACAACCTTGTACTTTCTACTCACACCAAACTGAAAGCTCAATAAAATGTTACTCCTGCATGAAAGGAAGTAGGATTAAATGAGGAAACAAATGGTCTTCTTTTCATGGCAGTTTACAAAACATGTCACCTGGCCTCAGACATTTAAAGGTCTTCATTGGTGGCATTGAAACTCAAAAGAGAAGAAAAGTGAGTGTTTTAGGTATATTTTTTTATTTCTGGAAATATCCATTATTCATTGGCTCCGCTCTAAACCCTTTCTATCAAAAGCATTTTCTGTTGCTTGTCTTTGGAGCCCTCAGGGCCACCTGTCTGCACAAACATCAAATCCCCATTAAGACTGGACCTAGTCCAACATTATTCACTTTGTGAAACCTAACCAGAAACATGCTCCGTCTTTCCCTTACAACAATGCATTCCATTTGGAACATGTATAACAGCGTTGTGAATGATTAATTGGAGGTCTGTGTGCGATCACTTCCCAACAAAGTTTGGTTCCAGAATAATTAATGGTCCGAGGCGGGCGTGTAAAACACTTAAGGTTTAAAGAGAAGCAGCCATTCCTGCACTCAGACGGCTGACTGAAGCGTCGGAAATGAATTATAGATGATGGGAGAAAACAGTGTGTGATATGGCCGACCGCTGACTGTCAGAGTCCATTTGTCTGCACTGCATTTATTAATACTTGTCTTCTGTCTTCACTGGCTCTTCAGAAAAATCATTTCTCTGCTTTTTCTAGTTCATGGCAAGCCTTTATCTACACACACACACACATACACACACACACACGCACAGACAGACATACACAAGCAAGCAGACCATAATGTATGAAATACAGGCGACAAAAAGACTGTCTATAGATAACAGTTGCATGCTGCTGTTGATTAATGGAACTCCTCCACTTGACTCTCTGCTGTACGTCTACACTATGTTAATGCTAACAAACTGTGGTTTCATTTAGACTTTATATTAGGGAAAATACTGTATGAAGATCCATGGGTTAAATATTGTATATTTATATATATGTATATATATATTTTTATATATATATTTATGTATATTTAATTGTATATTTATATATATATACATAATCAGGTCAATTTAAATTTTGCTCAAGGGTGACCATTCACATTTAGCATTTGCACCAATGACCAACATATAGTATAGCATATAGAGTATAGAAATCCCACAGTTGAAGAACATGCAAACTGATGGTGATTTTGAAGTAGGAAGTAATAATTAAACCCTGCTCTCTAAAAAATAATTCAACCATCGGTCAGATAAATTATAATGTGATCTCGAGTCATTTGCCTTTCAATGCCTCAATCAGTACCAAGAAAATAAAAAACACTTGCCTGCCATTGTTTGTTTATTCATTATGCATGAGTTAAGATTGACAAAACAATGTCTTAACTACAGAGACCTTTTTTTAATAAGAGCCCTAGGAAATATTTAGCAGATTATTGCAGCCCCGTCCTCCTCCCTCCCCCCAACTATGTCCAGAGATGGTCATGGATCTCTTCCTGGACATCTTTTTTTTTGGATCACTCCTACACAGTATGTTCTTGTTCCTCATCTCTGACTATTTGAATCTGTATGACCTATGTGCGACCTTGACCCACACTGATGCCCCTTTGTAGCCAGGGTCATCTCTGTTCCCTACCTTCTTACCTCCTCTGGTGCACCACCTTTTCATCCATTGCAGAGGTTCTTGCCCCCTAATTGACCCTTTTATGCACATTATGCCCCGTTAGCCTCATTAGCATGTGGTTAGCATATTCACTTGACCTGAGGTTAAACAGGGCAGCCCATCGACCCGCCCACTGCCTCACCGTTGCCAAATGTATTTTTGCGTCAGCTACACACATTGAGTATAAAAGGTTAATTTATTTATCGTTTACTTTTGTGTTTTAAGTAGGTTTTCTTTTCACAATCTTTAGACCACTGGCCTGTCAGTAAAGTGCTGCATATGAATTGAAGAACTAAGAGGAAAGAAAATGAATTTCAAACAAAAGCAAAGAAGAAAACTCCAAACAATTGTGATATAAAATGTACAAAGTTGACTTTGATGAGTTGGATAGAAATTTTTGGATGCGTTTTTTGAGAAAGTAAAAGAAAGAAAGGTTGGTGATGGCGGTCAGTGTGCACGTTAGTGAGCCACAGGAAGCTGCCTAAATCTGCTCACATTAGAAGAAGCCCAGACCAAAGTTCTGTTTCTAAACTCATAATAAAAAGTAAATTCATACCGAATATTCCAAAAAACATTTTTGCACTTAAAATCAAAATCGTAGCTACTATAATTTCATTGATAAGAGAAACTTTTTTAAATCTCGTATAAGTATATAACAGAGTATATTATACACAGTACCATTAAAACTATAATCTATATTTAAAAATACTTCGCTCTGACGTCAGGTTTACTTACCTGCGTTTGAATGTGAGGACCACACCTAACAGGATGATGATAAACATGAGGATCCCAGCGATCACTCCGGCCATTTTCACGGTGCTGTCAACCTGCTTCTCCGGCTCCATGGCGTCAGAGTCCTGCGTGGACGCACCTGCTCACACACACACAAACAGACACATAAACACACACACAAACAGACAAATAAAAAAACACAAGCATTAATACTCGGGAACACTCTCAGATGCTGCACTGACGAACAAGAATAGATTAGTAAACAGACTGATGACCAAACTGATGGATATGAATTGTACTATGTACAAGTAATGGAGTACATTATTGTTACATAGTGTGGTTTGTGGAGCACAGAACTAGAGCAAATGTTGGTACAGACATGAATAACAGTTGTTTCAAGGTCAGACAGTGAGTGTTGTGAGGCTCAATATGAGGGAACGGACAAAGACCAGGTCAGACTTCTGGACAAACGGGGAGCTCTGTAGCTTTTTCCTACTTACTTTGTCTGCAGATGTGCACAAGTCTGTGATAGATTGGTGATAAGTGATGATTTGTATGAAAACCTAAATTTCAAATAAAAAAAGTCTATATTTCAGACGCCAGTCAGTAGTGAACTGTAAGAATACTAATAAAGATATAAATAAATGAACAGTGTTAATGCCTGAGGAATTTGTAAATATATTGATCTATATTATATTATATTATATTATATTATATTATATTATATTATATTATATTATATTATATTATATTATATTATATTATATTATTAAAATGGATTTGTGTTTTAATTACTTGATATGATTGCTGCATTTTCTTTGTGGTGTCAATACTAAATTCTACCGGCCTGAAATAAAACACTTCACCAAGTCAGATTATCATTTATTTATATTTAACTATAAATTATTGAGATTAAAAAAATTGGGCAAAAATAAAGGAAACAGATGAGCAGAATGGTGGTCCCAGAGGGTCTGCTCTTCAGGACCATGTTCTCTCACAGCACTGCCCCCCATGGTTTAGTTATAACCTTAATAGTCAAAGGCAGCTGAGAAATAGTTGTACAGCTGTGTTGGGATCAGGTAAATCCCCCCTGCCTCTCTCAACATGCCACACCCCTCCATCCCCACCTCGTTGGAGTAACTCAAGGACATACGAACCTAGTAGGATAAAGGCTGGAACATCTAACCTGAGAACTTACGCAGACGTTTCACCTTGTTGATTTCCAAATCACGGCATCCTTCAGTCCATTTAAATGTGTCTCTGTAGATGTAATAGTCAGATCTTTAGAGCGCTGCAGTTTTCACGGGGGCAGCTGGGGGCAGCAGAACCTAGGTCAAGCACCCTCCACTTTGAAGGTCTTGCAATGTGATTTTTTTTCCCTTCTATTTTTGTCTCATTGCAGTATTCCATGGATTGTTGCCTTTCTCTGCAGAACTCAATTAACTTCTGAAGTGAGTCAAAGTGACTTTATGTTCAAACCAAATTGTCATTTTGTCCATGTGTCTATTTTTGAACGTATGGTGTTCTGTCACCTGCTGTTCCTCACACTCTGTTTTCCTTAAATGGGATCAGAATTCAAATATATGTGTATATGTTATGGACTGTACTGTAGCACTACATCAGTTATAAAGAACTGCCATCTACCTGCAGGCCACTATAGATTCTCAGAAGCCCTACAAATACACTTGATGTTTAAACAGTATTTTAAAGGTGTATTCTGGTGTTATACCACTCCTGACAGCCTGTGACCTTGTAATCAACAGAAGTAGTGAGGTATACTGTATGTTAGCGTGTAATTACACCAAAGCGTCAAGCGTTCACAAAATCAGAATTCTCACACCTGAGCCCGTACCCCCCCCCCACACACACACACACACAATTGTACTGTATAAGGCCGTCATTGTGGCAGGATTTCTCTAGACACTGCTCGTGTTAGCACTAGCACTAGCTTTTTACCTTCTTTGGCACCTGTCAAGTCGATGCCAAAGACTATATAAAAGGTCGGGTTAAACCCTGAACAGTTAACTGAACAATGCTGATATAGAAATCACATTAAAAAATATATATATATACAGTATATATTGTGCTTCCAAGTTCCCTGTAAGGGATTGCATTCCATTCGAGGATCTAAGCACATCTTCAAAGGGCAACCTCACCTGAAAGCTTATAACTAGAAGTAGTAAACAAACCAAGCATCTACACTACTGCAGTAGTTACAGTACTGCAGTAGTTACAGTACTACAGTGGTTACAATGACAGTGAAGGAGTCAAAAACACTAATCCCCATAAAAACAAGTATTTCTGACTTTGGTCCAAAAGAGTAAGAACAAAGGCATCAAAGTGGATTCATTCCCATTATCTTCCACAGTGGGCTGCTGATGACATTAACCATTAATCCTCATTACTCATGCTCGACCCCCGCACCACCTCTGTGTGTCTGGGTATCCTTTTCATTTATATTTTTCTATCAGCAATCTTTTCTCCTCACTTTAAGAACAGGATAGAATTACCCGGAAGGAATTATGGGTAAAACCGCAGATATTAAAAAAACATAATCTCATCGAAATCAAGAGGAGATTGATTCTCAAACCACCAACGCACAGAGCAGGCTATGAGAGCCATATTAAACACTGCTGCAGTGTGTATGTGTGTGTGTGTTTATTGAATATTAATATTGTAATCTGTTGAAATACATTGGGTTTTTTCTCTATAGTTGCAGCATGCATATCAGATTTAAATATTTATAACTACAAGTACTAAATAAATTTGACCTTATTTCCTATCAATTCCTGCGAAGCATGTGTTGTTGTGTCATTGAGCACACAACCTGCAGGTGGAGTAAATACACAGTGTTTCTGTCAGCAGCTGCGGAGTTTGTATATCCGTCGTTGATTAGTGCAAGCGTGGCCGAGTGTGTTTAGAAGGATTATTAATCAGAAATAAGCTGATACAGTGCTGTGTGTGTGTGTGTGTGTGTGTGTGTGTGTGTGCGCACATTTGTTGGTAGTGATGTTGTATCTGTGTGTCTTGCACAAGGGGTCAGAAAATACATCACTGTTTTTTTTACAACATAGTCAACAATAAGGGATTATGCTGCAGTGAAACCTGGGTCTGAAGCCGATCTACCTAAAACACAAACACACACAAATGTCCCCACAACGACAATTGTCCCACCAAAATGTCCCCGTTATTTTCTCATGATGTGCTACTGCCATTTCTCCTTGTATTCTTTTTAAACGTCTTATTGATTTTATGACTGAAAAAATGTTCCACTTCTTTAATGTTCATTTACTATAAGTTTGTTGGACACAGTTACTGGTCGTTTACTGCTGTACTTCACAGCAGCTGTGTCCAAATTCCTGTAAATCACAGCTGAGCTCAAAACAAAACGTTTCGTGCGAAGCGGGAATCGATTTTGTCGTCAAACAGAATGTTGCGTTTCATTTTCTGACTTTCTCACAAAGATGGCTCAGCAGCAGGATAGACAAGCTCCCGTGTTCTGCAGTTGTCAGCAGATGGAGATTAGCCGTCGGGTGGATGATATGTGCGGCTACAGGCAAACATTCTTCCATAAACACACCTGTCAAACACTGCCAGAGACAAACAGAGGAATATTCACAACGTGTATGTTTACTGTTGAGAGACTTTTTTTTTTAAACTTCCATTAAAGGAAACATGCACAGAAATGATTCAAGGTAAACAAACAAACAAACAAACAGACAAACAAAGACATTTCCAGTATTCTGTCAGTTCAGTTGGCTCCGCAGTATCAAATCACTGGTTCTTAGGTGGTGGGTTACAGCCCAAATATGGGTTCCAATTAAACATCAGTGGGTCAGATAGTTTGATACACGAATGCTGAGCAGTGCATCAGCCAATAGCATTGTCTAAATATAATAATGCGTACATTTGTAATTAAAGTGTGGCACTTTATTTTAATAATTAATATCCTAACTAGCATCTTTTGGTAGTTTTTTCAGCATGTGTGTGAATGTGTAATTATGTGAGTGCAGGTTTGTGTAAGTGTGTGTGTTTGATTTTCTTTCTTAACTGATTCTGATTTCATGTTTCTGTGTTCTCTGTTTAAATGTGTTCTCCTTCCCCATTGGCTCATATTTTGCACTGACCTCACTTCCTTTATTAATCCTCCGTTCAACTCCCCTCCACCCTTCTCCGTTTTTTATGACTTGGTCGAATTTACGTCTGGACAAGTGAACATTTTGTTACTTAGTCGTTGAGCAGATGGAAAATTCATGGCGGAGTGAAAAGGGCAGACTTAGCATAAGGCAACAGTCTGACACCAGGTCTGTCTCTCAGAGACTGATGCTGCTGCGGCTGCATACAAAATACTACAGTAGGACAAGAAGAAATATTCTTCAGCCTCACTCTATTATGCTATGTTTTTCAGTTGCAGTCTGTCTTTATTCTAGACTCTTCTTCTCTCCAGGGATCTTTTCCCCAGAATGTCAAACACAGTCAGGATCCTCTTTTAATTCCTATTTTTAAGCAGTAGATTCATTTAAAATCTCTCTGGGGTGAATGAACAGCCTTCAATCGAGTCTGACGAGTACTGTGGTCCAGTATTATCATTACTTCATATTCAGTATATGGTTGTTTTCATGAATTATTTTGGGTTGAGATGTGGAGATACATAGATTTATTTATTTTTTTCCATAACTTACTTACATATTTAGTTGCATGAATATACTGTTTTTTTTTATTATTATTTTTTATTTTTTTTATTTTGACAAAGAACAGATCAGCATCATTCCTACTAGTAACAAATGTCTGAATTTAGTTTAGCTGACGTGCCTCAGCCGTGCACCAAAGCTGAAGCCTGGTATTAAATGATTGGTTTCTTTTTTTATAATTATGGATTTAGAATAGTTTGAACCTGATTGGTCTTGTAATTACCCTTGTATTTCTCTGTGTTCCTACCTGTTAAATGTTCTGAGAGACTGTCAGTAACGACTAAGTTTGACCTCTGGCTCGGTCCACTGTAACTGCTGTGGCTGACGATGGATTAGAAAACCATTTGACTGTGTGTTTAGAACACGAAGGCAGAAACGATGGACGGACTCTGACTCTGTTTCTGCTGTTCAGAGATTTTAGGACGTGTGTTTGAGCGTGAGTCACTGAGCAGCAAACACTTAATGATGATGGTGAAATACAAGGGTCGCTGGCAAAGAGCACCGTGTGTGTGCATGTGTGTGTGTGTGTTTATTATAAGTGAGTCATGCGTTTTCAAACTTCTGCAGCCACACATGGGAATCACAGACAAACTCTCTCACACACACACACACACACACACACACACGCATGCATGTTCACGTGTCCACAAAGAGCCACATGTTGCGTCACTATTGCACTGCAGCAGAGTCGGTTACAACACAGTTATAATGGAACTCAGGGCTAATGGTAATGTTAATTGGAGACGGCGTATCAACGAGTGCATCGATGACAGTGGAGTGTGTTTGATGCTGATGTGAACCACAGAAGGTGAACAGAGATCGTTCACTCAGCAGCGTAAGATGTCAAGAAGAAAATGTTTGCATCATTTGTAAACTTTCCCTCAACTCTGACCCTAAGGAATTAAAGCTGTGTTCAAACTGCAGGACTTCTGGTTGGTGGTACGTTAGTCCGACTGTCTCGGCCTGGATGATGCAACTTAGGAAAATATGGCTGCATGTTAAAAAGACAAGGAGTTGATCAAAGATGTTGTGGTTATGTTTTTACAAAATCTTTCACAGCAGTATTTACAACCACTGCTGTGGAATAATACTTTCAGACTCAAACCTACCTCGTGTTTAATGTCACCACTCAAGTTTCAGATTTTTTAATTGAATTCGTGACTAAAGATAACTCTCCATCTGCAGCTGTCGGAGAAACAGAAAGACTGAAGAAATAATTAGATTACAAAGATTTGAATCTTTCTGAACAGCTTAGTCAGAAAAGCTGTATTTTTAAAACATTGAATATTTAAAGTGTTATTAATATGACAATGGCTGTGATATGTCTTTCAGTGTCATCATCAAAAGTTAATCCAAAAACAACTGCTGTTACAACAGTGATAACATTTCATCACCTGGTTTTTAATATTTGGCATGTATAATAAAAAGATATTCTGAGGAGACTTTTGCCCCTGCAGTCTCCTCTTTTGCTCCAGACTGGCTCGTGCCTGTGTTTGCCTCCATGCCCCTGTTTCATATTTAATGTATCAGTCAACAGAGGAAATGTGCTTTAAAATGTATTTCCTTATCAGTTTCCTTATAACTGTCACAGAGTCAAATGTGAAACGGAGATCCGTTGTTACCCAAAGTTCCATGCCCTCTGTTAGATTGTGTAAATCAAGCTCTGGCTTCACATAAATACGATCTATCCTCACTCAAGTTAAGATTTCGCTTGTGTCTGCAGTTGTGCATGATGGGAATGATTTTTCGTGCTGAGCCTCGCAACCAACTATTTCCCTGGGGACAATAAGCATTATTGTATTCAGGTGGAATTATCAGATCTTGTCGACAAATAACCGTGACAGCAGTTTATGATACAGCGCCTGCTGCTGCTGACTGTGTTTCACTGTTGTCCCAGGCCGGGTTTTTGATTGGACGCCATTTGTATTCTGCTTATCAAACAGAAACACACTGATTAGAACAAATATATTAATCTATATATATACTGTATATATATATGTGTGTGTGTGTGTGTGTGTGTGTGTGCGTGCGTGCGTTGAGGAAAACCAATAAGTGAACTGTATGGATGAGCTCTTATCCATTTAGTTTGTATCACAGCCTGTAAACAAATAAACCTGAAAACAACAATAACGCCCAGAAAATTATTGGTCTGGAAATTGCATTTTTGTTTACAGTGATTGATTTTTTTTTTCCACAGTAATAACAGTTACATTATGGAACAAAAGCTCTTTTTTTGGCTCAGACCATTTTATTAGTGTGAGGTCTGTATTTTTCTCATATTTAATATTGGTTCTATTAGCAGTTTATTTCTATTTTTTAGTGGAAACAGAGGTCCATTCTAATTTGTCATTCCTTTTTCATCAGGAAAACTATAATCTGCATGAAATATAACTCACATATTTTTTTGTTTTTTTTTCCACCCTGGTATTCATGGAACTCAGTAATTGGTTTGACATCTTTTAAAGGTTGGTTGTCTCATTACTGAGACTGCTCCATGCATTTATGTTTCCTCTCCTGTGAGGTTACTGGGGTTTTTTAGATGATCGCCGTAATTCTAGACAGTTTATTTAAAATAAAGCAAAGTGAACATTTTTTAGAACCAAAGACAAGTCAGAGCTGGTTCACTGGTCTGTGTCAAATACTTCAATTTCCACAACCCCTCTGCAGCGATATTTCATTTCACGACATCAAATCGATATTCTACAGCACTATATCCATTTTTTATATCAACAATTAACATGCAAATGTTCACTGCGTCGGTTCATTTGATTTTGCTTTCATTTCTTCTCTAGCCATTGTTTACTAAGGAGACAGCTTCCTACAATTAAAATGCTTTAAAAAAGCAATATATAAATGGTTGTACCTACAGTATCACAGTATATCGCAATATATTGTACATGTATGTATTGTATATATTGTATTTTTGTAGCTTAAAATAAAAAAAGTTAATACATTTTTTCAAGTAATTTTACCTTGACATATAATGAGGATATAAAATGTTCATCATGAAATTATAATTTTTTTGAATTTTTTTTTTTATTTATGTTTTCTTCAAAATTAGTGTCAAATGATGCATTTTAAGAGAGAGCCATTGGTCATCTTGTCACTTGTTAGTTACAAGTCACATGGATTCAGTTTGTGTGTGTGAGTGTGAAGACAGAAAGCAGATGTTCAGACGAGGCACAACACTTGAAGCACAGCAGACGTGCAGACAGACATGGGAAGATGGAAAGAAATGGATGAAAAAATACAAAAAAAACAAAAACAAAAGACTATTCATAACAAAACAGAATGAAAGTCAGAGGCCGAAACTCAAATAATGGATTGTGTGGTGTGTTTGTGGCTGAGATGTGATTAGTTCAACATAGGGAGGAAATATATTTTGCCTATAAAGCAATAATCACCTTCACTTGGGATGACTAGTATGTACGGCGTTGTTATTTGTCCCCTACCTATTACCACTAAGGCCAAGGGTCGCAGGTCGCCGCCGGAAAGCATGAGAAAAGAGAGACAAAACAAACAACAAAAAAGGGGGGAAAGGAAGGAAAAAAGTCTCAGAAAAGTTGACGTAAATTGGTATGTATCTTAATCAGAATCAGAATCTGAATGAAACTGTTTTTGAAATAACTGTTCTAGAATAAAGAGTTGATCTTGGTATTAGACTCTCGGTGTGGACTGGGGTGAGTTGGCTGTAAATGATCCTGATTGGAAGGTTACTGTGACTGCCATCTGTTTATTATCAATTAGTGGGGGGGGGGGGGGGGGGAGGGAGGGTGTTCCGTGTCATGGAGTTAATCAGCTGAGATTGTTGATTAAAAGAAAGAATATGGAAAAAAACATCTTAGAATTAAGAAAATGGAAGAAAAGTAAATGAGAGAATGAATGAAAAAACATTTTGAGTTGATTAAAAAAAGTCAGAGCACTTTGATAATCATTCAATGTCAACTAGTCTATTTTAAAATAAGGGAGTGAATAGATGAATGGACTATTATGGGCTAGAAGTAAAAAAAAAATCATCATCCAAATTATTAACTACATGGTATTTTTATAGACCACTATTTGTTATTATTAATAATAATAATATATACTTATGTTATACTTATCTTAAAAATTTTGGGAGACAACATCTTTCAATTGAATGAAATAATATACAGAAATAAAATTAGGTAATAAAATCTCAACACATTAGAGACAAAAACTGATGAAGGAGATTAGGAGCTGTGAATGGCAGAGGGACTTATGGAAAGTTAAAATGTAAAAATAAATGAACAAAAGGGAGAGAAAAATCAATAGCAGGCAGAAAAAGCATTCAGTGCACATTGCTTAGCACACAAATGGGTGTATTTGCCAGAGATGGGCAGCAAATAAAGATGGGCATCATGGGGGAGGCAAAACAGAATAGGATGAAAATGGGTTCTGGGGCCGACGCTTAAACCTCCATCCAATGGCTTTTATGAATGCGGTCAATCGGTGCCTACAGTAATGGGCCTCCAGTTCCACTTTAGACACTGATGAGCAACACAGATGTGGAAATAAAAAAAAAAATCAGAGCGAAAGAAGTCAGTGGAAGAAAGTAAGTAAGAAAGAAAGAGTTAGAGTTGGA